TAGTTTGGAATTACATTTGTTCTGGTAATTTTTAAAATTGCTTTTAAATTAAAAAAAGAGGTATAATACACAAGCCAAGGCAAAATAAAATCTAAGAGAATGAGTTCTTCAAAAAGTTTGTTTGAATGGCAGTCTTATCACTTTAGTCACTATTTTTCAGGGAATTCAGAGACAGACATTTGATAATGGGAAATCATTATCAGTAAAAATTTTCAACCACTATTCACATTGATAAGCTATGAAAAAAATGAGAAGGAAATGTCTGAATGCCTTTTTATAACTTCCATTTCAGGGGGAGGAAAAAACCAATTGATTGGGTGCTCAGGATCCCCAGACCAGGAACTTTTTTATTTTAACTTCCTTCACTTCTGAAACAATAGCAGAAGCACTATTCAGAAATTCCAAAGACTGAGTGGAGATGGGGCGAAAGTCCAGTGTGCTATACACCACATGCCAGGGAAGACAAGCAAGCATGTATGCGCAACAATTCCAACTCACCAGTCCCTGCCTCGTAAGAGAACACCTTTGCTCTAACTTCGTCACCCAGTATGGCCTTCTGTTGGCCACCAGCTGCTGTCAGCAGCCATTTCAGCACAGAGTAACATGTCAGGTATCCCTCAGCCAGAGCTAAGTTCTGAGCCATTTTCTCCTGCTTGACTCTACTTAACTTCACTTGCTCTTTTGCCTGTCCTTGGGAAAACAACTTCGACTGTTATGTTAGCTGCAGCAGCTCTAATGCCTAATAATGAAATGCAAGAGGCCATTAAGATTTGTCATGCTTTGCTTTTCTGAAACTCAAGTTCCTGTGATAATCCCCATAGGGCTGCAGTGTGTGATCATGAATGCACGAAGCAGCACAAATCCAGAAGGATGGATTAGCAAACAGCCTGCACCATCTTGAGCCTTTGTTGTCCCCGTTAAAGGGGAGAGCATTCAATGAGAACCTGCTTCACAGTTTCTGAATACAAGACACAGTTCAACCTAAAACAGGCTAAGCAAAAGGGATCTCATAAGACTTCCTGCAATGGGTATTAGGATATGTCTGAGAAAAGGCTCTGAAATCAAACAGGTTTGCCTCCAAATTTCTCCCCCCTGACCAAGACACTGTCCAAGAGGCATAATGTCACAAATCAAATAACACCTAGTCCATAGGCTTGTGAGTGGTTTTCATGAGGATATACAGATAACTTGTGTAACAAGGTGCCTAGCATGAGAAGAAAAACAGTAAACAGTGGGAAAACTGGCTTTCTAGGTCTATGCAGCCTAAGCACTCCCATGTGCACAGCAGCACTTTTCACAACAGCCAAGAAAAGGAAGCAACTCTGATATCCATCAGCCAATGGATGGAGAAGGAAAATGAGGTACCTGCAAAGAGCAGAATACTATTCAGCCATTACAAGGGTGAAATTTTGTCAGAAGGAAAAGTGTGCATGGAACTTGAACTCACTGTGCTAAGTAAAATAATCCAGATATAAAAAGGCAAAGATCATATAGTCTTACTCACAATGTGAAATCGACAGAAGTTGCTCTGATAATCTAGCATAATAGTAGTTATTAGAGGCTAGGAAGAGTGACTGGGAGGGAAAGCTCATCAATGAATATTAAGTGGGATGCAGGAGAACTAAGTTTGGATGTTCTGATGCACAGTATGGTGACTACCTAGCAATAATGTATTGGATGTCATGCGAAGGCCCAGAAGGAAGGATTGGGGGTATCTTTTATTATCACAAATGATAAATATCTAGGGAGATAGGTAAGCTTACCCCATTTTGAACATTATGCAATGTATGCATGGATCCACCTAACAGGATACTGAAGAAATAGGTACAATTTTGTCAATATATAAAGTCACAAAATGTCAATACATAAAAGTAGCTGCTTTTCATCACATATACCATATCAGTAACAGGATATTGGGGCTATAAAATCCCTTTTAAGCAGGGATGCCATAGCCTCTCAAGAGCTGAAATGACCTTCCGCTCATGATAAGCACTGTATTATACAGGCTGATAAATATTCACCTGCTTTATGTATCTTTCCCATTGGAAATTTACTGATGCGAACATGGTGGCAACAAAATACAATGCAGGGAAAAACTAATCCAGGTGTCACACAACCACATACATGCTGGGAGCACGCCAGGGACCTCAGAAGGACCAGCACAGATGCCTTGTAGTAAGCTAAAACTTGCCATTTTTGCCTTTGCAAAGTTGCATGCATTTTAGAAGTTATCAGTATCTACCACAAGCCTAATAATGCCATGTATTTTACAAAAGTAACAAATATATATATATATATCAGTAACAAAGCATATATAGTCAAGAACTTTCACATTTGCAAGTTTTATTTACATGTTTACACCACATTTTGAAATTTTAAAAAATAATTTTCTGAAAGGCAGATAGGGAAACAGAAAAATCTTTCCTCCACTAGTCCACTCCTGAAATGCCTGCAGTAGCAAGGGCTGAGTCAGGCCGAAGCAAGGCATCCACACTCCATCTGGATGTGCTTTGAGTGTCAGGAACCCAAGCCTGTGAGTCAACCATGGCTCCCAGGGCTGATCAGCAAGAAGCTGGATTAGAAGCCGAGCACTAGGGCAGCACTGGAGTATGGGATACAGCTTTGGCCCAAAGAAGTGACTGAACCACTGAGCCAAATGCCTTCTGCTCTCTGCTGATCTTTTTCTAGGATGTGTTTTATTTTTTATTGGAAAGTCAGATATACAGAGAGGAGAGAGGGAGGAAGATCTTCCGTCCGTTGTCTCACTCCCCAGTGGCTGCAATGGCCAGAGCTGTGCCAATCCAAAGCTAGGAGCCAGAAGCCTCCTCTGGGTCTCCCACACGGGTGCAGGGTCTCAAGGCTTTAGGCCATCACTCAACTACTTTCCCATGCCACAAGCAGGAAGCTGGATGGGAAGTGGAGCTGCTAGATTTAGAACCGGTGCCCATATGGGATCCCGGCATATGCAAGGTGGGAACTTTAACCACTAGGCTATGACACCAGGCCCTCTGCTGACTTTTTAACCATTTTAGCCTGCTGTGTTCATATTTTCTTTCCAAAATGGAAGGGAAGAGCAGTTTAATGTAGTTGTCCAAGTTGCTAACAGCAACCTGAAGTGCATACCAGAAACACAATTTCATGGGTGGGGAATTGTACCACCAAAGTCACACACACAGTGGGGAAGGCAGAATTTGAAACCACCTGACTCAGACATATTCAGTTCATCAGGAATTATAATTTACTGTTGCCCTGCTTGCTCCCTGTAGTGGACCACAACTTTATCCCCTTCAGAAAAAAAGACACATGCAGGGTTACTGATGAACAATGCGGTGAGCACAGCCGTCAGCGCCCATGGTGCAGTGAGAGAGAAGAGAACATGATACATAAGCTTTAGTCTGGCAGACGGGTGCTGGGGCTGCAGCGCCAACCTGGCTCCTTCCCGGTTGCTAGGAAGCTTTGCCCGTTATTTATCATCTACGAGCTGGTGTTTCTTCACATATAAAATCTTTCCACCCCATAAAATTGTTATCAATTTCACGACTGGCATTATGGCATAACAGATAAAAGTCATCACCTGTACCCCATCTGAGTGCTGGTTCATGTCCCAGCAGCTCCAATTCTGATACAACTCCAAGTGGCATGGGAAAAGCAGTGGACTATGACCCAAGCGTTCAGACCTAGGGAGTGAAACAAGAGGCAAAAGACCTCTCTGTCTCCCTTTAACTATTTCAAATATATATATTTTAAATTGCTATGCCTATTATTGCAGTAACAGGTCAATTTGCTTTCCTATTTATAAAGCTTCAGGCAAATTTCCACTATTATCAGAGTTCAGTTCTTGGCATTTCCACTATTGATTTGCTCTTGAATAGTTGGAAATCTCTCTTGACCTTTCTCACTGATAAGCTAAAATTGCTGATATAGCACTTGTTAATAATAACATCCAGCATCCACGCTCAACTTCTAGTGAGCTAGAAGCCTTCAGGGTATTATTAAAGTAGACTGCCAGGCCGGAATGACTGTGTCCCAGCATAACTGGACAGAACCTTATGCTCATCGCCATTTAGAAAGATCCCCCTTGGATCTGATGTTGAAGGACTCGGATTACTCTCTGAAACACACTGCTCTCCAAGCTAGGTATCACAAAGAACTGCATTGTGAATAAAGAACTTGGCCAATAGAATGGTTATTGTGCTATACTGGATTAGGCTGCAACTTTATATTGCCAGATCCCATGTTGCAGTGACTGTGTCAAGTCCCAATTACTCCACATTCCAATCCAGCTTCCTGCTATTGTGTCTGGGAAAGAATGGATGATATCCCAGATACTTGGACTTTTACTGCCCACACATGAAGTTTCTGGCACCTAGGCTTGGTCTAGCCTAGTCCTGGATGTTTAAACTTTTTGCTGAGAGAACCATTAGATAAGACCTTCAGTCTTTATTTTTCACATACACAAAATCTATTTGAACAGCATAGTTACAGAAGAGGGAGGGAGAGGTGGAGAATGAGAACCTACTTTTATCTTGCTCGTTCCCTTCCAAATAACTACAACTCCTTGAGCTGAGCCAGGCTGAAGCTAGGATTCTGGAACTCCATCTGGGTCTTCCTTGGGATAGCAGGGATCCAAGTTTTTGCACCGTCTTATGCTGGCTTCCCAAGGTACATTAGCAGGGAACTTGTAAGAGACAGCAGCTGGGACTCAAACTGGCACCCATTAGGAATTCCAGCATAAGAAGTGGTACATTCAACTCCTTTTTTCAAAAACAAACAGAAAAAATTGGCCATGGTCATGTATCAGTAACATAACCAGCACCACACTCTCAACTCTCCCAATTTAGAAGCCATTCTTTTCAACACAAAACAACAAACTGTCTCAGCTCACTCTTGGTCAATGAGTTAACCCTTGGGATGTGATTCTAGCATCACAGATAAAGCATGCAATGCGCCAGACATATTCAATTGGTTGAACTTCATCCCTTTGTCTTCTTTTTCCGCAGACACCTTTGCCAGTAAAGTGGCAGCCACCCAGGACCAGTATGCTGATGCCTCCATAGGTAACGTCACTGGCAGCAATGCTGTGAATGTCTTCCTGGGAATCGGCGTGGCTTGGTCCATTGCCGCCATCTACCATGCAGCCAATGGGGAACAGTTCAAAGTGTCCCCTGGCACATTGGCTTTCTCTGTCACTCTCTTCACCATTTTTGCTTTCATCAATGTGGGAGTGCTGCTGTATCGGCGGAGGCCAGAAATTGGAGGTGAGCTAGGCGGGCCCCGGACTGCCAAGCTCTTGACATCCTGCCTCTTTGTGCTCCTGTGGCTCTTGTACATTTTCTTCTCTTCCCTGGAGGCCTACTGCCACATAAAAGGCTTCTAAAGGAACAACCAGATCTAGCAAATTTATATATATATATATACATATATATACATATATACATAAAAATTATGTATAATGAACAGAGGAAACTGACATTTGTCATGTTCACTTACCTGCTGATGGAATCCAGCTTCAAGAGCATACTCTGTACTAGGGCCGAAGTAAGAAACCATCACCTTCCATTCCTGGGGCATCATCATGTTGAACAAGGCAAGGCTCAATGACTGCAGCGCAGCCTACAAGGGCTGTACTCTCCAGGTTGATATATTGCTAAGGCTTTGATATGTTTTGTTGTTTTCTGATGTTGTTTTCAGTGCAGTTTGGGAGGTGGTTGATACTTGGCTTTTGTTTCTCATTCTATTTCATTTTGTTTTCTTGGGAGGCTCAGGATTTTGCTTCTCTTTTGGAAAGCGATGGCCCATCCAGATGCAAATGAATTTTTGATTTTTTTGAGAAAAATATAGTCATTAAGATCTCCCTCACCTCCCCCCAAATACTTAAAAAGTTATTTTGATTTAAGAAAGAATCTGAGCATGGAAGAAGAAAAGAAGCATGTGTTTGCTGTTTCCAAAGTCTATGCTTGTCTCCAGAAAGTAAGCCTAGGCTAGGCTGCCTCCAAGAAACATCATGGGAGCTAGAATGGAGCCAGGAATACTGATGCTTCTATAAGTAGCTTGGGATCTAAAGCTATTATGCCTGGCATTCTTGTTCAACAGGTACAGCGTGAATGTGCCTAGATTGCCAAGAACACACAAATCATTTGTTTCTTCTTTCTCTAGGTCTAGATTATGATTATCAAGGCCCTTATGTTCCAGCCCAGCTAACCCTGCAGGTGTCCCATCCCTACCCTTCTCCTCCTCCTGTTCACCTGCCCCAACATGCAAACAGGAAGAATACTCTACTCAAAAAGCACATCTTCCTTTTCCATTTGCATCCATGTTTCCCAACCCCATGTTGCTCTTGCCTGGGCTTGTCTGTCAGTTTTATTTTCAAAGGCATCCATGGCTTGCACAATCCTGTTTCAGTCATGACTAAACATTCACTTTCTTTTTCATGTGCCTGTTTGGGAATGTTGTTGTGACCTGTTACACCGTGCATGGATGAAAAACAAAACAAAGCATATCTGTATATAATAGAGTATAGCATATACTGTCCTCCCATTCAGCAATGATGATTGGACATTGAAGAACTAAGTGAGTTTGCTTTTCACCTCAGTTGTTACTTTGATTGTTACTGAGTTTGATTATTATTTAGAGATATGAGGAGAAAATGGCTTATTTGTGAATCTGCACCTTCATTCCTAAGAAGCAATAACCATCACATGCGGAAGAAGTTAAAGTTATTAAGAGAGTGGCTGGAAAACTACAAGGATCTTCATAGAGAACCCGCTTTGTGGAACACATCTGGGGCATCTAAGAATCACTGGTTAGTTCCACCAGGCCAAAGAGAAAGGTAATGTAGAGAAGCAGATGCACCAGATGTGCCTGGGCTTCCAAAGCTGCGGTTTCCACAGGCCCCGCCTCGTCTCTCCCTTCCCCAACCCCTCTGCCCTCAATATTTATTGCCTATCTGCTCTGTCTGGCACAGATAGTAGATACTAAAGTTTTTTTCCATTTTTTTTTTATGTAAAAGGCTTTTTTTTTTGAGCTTTTTTCCCCCTGGCCTTTCTCATCCAGACTCCTCTAGCCATAGCTCCTGCATCAGAAAGAAGTTAGCATTCCCAAGGGAGATTTCTCCTCTACACATGCCTGAAAAGGGGGCAATGAAAGAAGATCAGCACCTCCCGGGAGCATAGGAATGACTACCACAAAATACCAAAGAGTGTGGATAAACTCACATTTCAAAGTAGTAACTCCACTAGTAAAAGATGTCAGTCACCTCCATCAGATTCTGTCTCTAAGGAACGCCATGCTAGACCCAACCCTATCCTTCTGTTGATTCATACTTAGTAACTGTTCCTAAAATGAATTTCCTTTTTGTCCATTCAGCAATCCTGATCCTCCATCATGTAACAGACACCTAGTTAATGAATAATTAAATGGTTACTCATTCAATATGCCAGGTGGTATGCTGCCTCCTTGTAACTAACCCATAAACAAGATGGCCCAGATCCCTGCCCTCAGGAGAGTTACAATTTCAACGACTGCTATTTCCATTTGGAAAAGTTAACATAACCATGTAGAGACAAACATGCCTTGCTAGGGAAAACACAATTAAACCCTTTTAGCAGAAAATACTCTTAAACCATACCATTGTCCAAATGTCCAAGATTTTCTTTAGCTAAGCACATGACCAAGTTACAGATATGTCCATGTCCCCCTTTTAAGCCCAGAAGAGCAGTCTTTCTAGTGATCCAAATTATGGGGAAGGTCAAGTCGGTTGCTAATCTGACAACGTGACTTCTCAACCCACAAATTCTCTCTTGGAGACCCAGGTCTACATCTGGAGTGGCCAGTGACCCAACAAACTGGTGACCTAACTCCTAACTCCTGTGAGGCACATTCTAATCCAACCTTTTTGATGCTTACTAAATGGAAAGCTAGCCTAGAAGTATCAAGTAAGTTGTTTAAACATTAGAGTCAGTGCTCACTTTTAGCCACATCTGGAATATCAACAATCCCATAGCAATTTACCATGGAGGACTCAAAAAAAAAATTTTCTCTTTTTTTGGTGTTGGTCAATTTTAACTTCAAAGTTTTTTGTTCTTTTGCTTTTTGAGTTTTTGTGCTATAGGAATAATATGATTGTGGTTATTCAGGGCTATTATTAATTATACTACTTGTGTATAATTATTTTGTGTGTGTTGTGCACAGTTTTAGGGGAGGGGGAAGTGCACTACTTGTGCTGTCCTTTACAAATGGAACACATTATTGACATAGACAAATAAAGTTTCTAATCATTTCTGATTTAATCATTAGTACTACAGCACATTGTGTATGGCATGTTTTCTCTCTTCTCATCGTCACCCACTTCATTTTTTGTTTTCATGTTTTGAAGAAATAAAGACCAAAAAGGTATTTATTGTACAATTGGTATCCTCATCAAAAAGAAAGTAAGAACCCCATAATTCAGACTTTTGAAAATGTAAAGCCTTTGGACCTAGAATGTTCTTGTTTTAATGTCCCAGGAGAGCATAGTACCAGAAGGTTTTCTATCCTAACATGCTGAAATAAATATAGGATGCCACTATATTCTGCTAATTTTTAACATTTTTTTTGTCCAAGTCTACCTATGTCCTTTTCACATCTAAGTACCATGAACCCATAAACAGTTAACTGTCAAGGAGCTTTTGGCATGCAGAGTATTATAACAAATAATTAAAACTTAATAAAAATGGTCATCAAGAGACTTGTTACTTCCTCAGAGGTATTAGGTAAGTTATTCCTTTGTATCAAACCCTGCATTCCTTTTGATTCCCAGAGCTGCTTTGTATCAGTAATTCCTGATTGTCAACGTATGTAAGTTGTAGCTCTCATACATAATATAATAAGAGCAGTATAGGAAGAAGTGATAATATTGGATTAAGTATTTATGTGAAAAATTAGCAGTCTCTAAAATCTGTTTATTTGAGAGTTTACAATAATTATCAGTGGGTATAGTTCTTACTGCAATAGATTGAAAAAATTTCTACTACACCCATGATATTTTTTATATCTGATTAACTTGAAATTTTTCATTTGGAAAAAATTTCATAAAAATTTCATTGCATCAATTGTGAGGAAAATAAGGTAAAATGTAAACATGTTCTTAGATTCAGCAATTGATATAGTCTCTTGGGATATGATTATTTGGTTTAAAATGAAATGAGAAGCCAATATTTACTTTATGAAACAAACAAAAAAAGAGTAATTCAGTGACCAGAGCCTCCCTGACCAGTTCAGGAGTTTTCAGCACATGCTGTAGCCCAGTGGTTATCAACGTCTAAGAAAATCTTAATTTGCTCACCAATTCTGATTCAGTCCTTCAATCAAGGAAAATTCCATAGAACTCTGCTTTCTGTGGCTCACAGCAAAAATGCACATTTTTCTTGTGATATGGTTTTTAGAATAAGTGGTCCATGCTGCAGTGAGGTTGTGATGCAGCACATTTTCCAAAGCACAAACTCATCGTCCACATTGCTGTTTCTACACAGGGCTACATTCATGTCGAAGAGCCCTGATCCCATACCATCGCAAGTAAAATGAGGATGACTGGTTATTGTGTACATTTGAGCACTCTGTAGACACGATGACAAGATATTCTCCTGTAGATGAGAAAGTCTTTCCCTTTCATGAATAGTAACAAAACTTTTTACCTTCATAAAAAACAGCAGGCAGCCTTGTTAAGGCTTCCTTGGGGATCCTGGATCTCCACATGTGGACTCTTTGTTTTCATTGTGGTTTTCATCCCTGTTCATTCATGCGAATTACTAGATATAGTTTCATACCTTCAAGATTACTGACACTAAGCAAAGTTGTATTTCCCCGGCCTACAGCTAGCATTGAGCTATTGTAACAGTCACTTCACATGGCCCTGACATTCTAAGTTTTGGTATAACTCAGCAAAGAGAACATTTGAATTACAGTCAGTAAATAAGTGAATGTGTTACTCAAAAGACAAATAGAAAAGCTTATTTATCTTACAGGGAAAGAAAGGTGCTATTATGAGTGGATTCATGATCTTTTTGTTCAGGTTAACTTTTTGTTAAAGATTTATCTATTATTTTCTACCATATGTATTTATCAGTTCTTGTCATATTCACGGTCTTTACATCATCCAGCATATATTAACTGCTGGATGCTTTTCATGCTACTCCACCTACAAGTTATACATGGGAAGAGTAGATAATAAAGATACTCTATTTTTTTTTTTTTTGGAGTTTAATCAGTCAATTCATCATCTCCCAAAACAAAGGATGCCTTACCTATAAGGCCACTGGGACCGCCACCTCCCTTTTTTTTTTTTTTCCTATTGCTCCTGCCAAGGGAGAAAGTGATTCAACTTCCCAGTCCACACAGAATAATTTTCCAACTTGCTGTGATTTTTCTTCTGCCTACCAAGATATTCCAAACACAAGGCTCTCCAAATGTTCAGCTTTTTTCCCCCAAGGTCTTATTTAATCTCCTACAAAATATTTAATGCAATGGAATATAAGTTCTTGTTGATTATTTTAGGAAATGTCATTGCTACATAAGTTCAAAAATCAATGTCAAATAGCAGTTATAACTGTGAGCCAATTCCTTTCAGTAACACTTTGTTGCCCTATGTTCTAAGTGCTTTTTTTTAGAATCATGCTGACTGAATCTTTTCAAAATACCACAGAGGATTAGGATATCCTAATATCCTAATATCCTAGGGGATAGTCAATCATTATCTTTCTTTTTGACTTTTGCATCTTTGCATCCAGCTACCCTTAGTGATGCTCTTGATTACATTTCAGCAATGGGAAACTACTCCTGCTAAAAGTGGTTTGCTTTTCTGGAAGTGAATTTGCCATAAGAAAGTCCTACATGATTACATTGCAGCTAGAAAACTGTCATTAGAATGCAATGCAGTTCCTCTATGAACACTTAGTGGTTTCTTCTACAGTTAGACACTGCAGCATTATTACTGATTATCTCTTTGAATCATAAGAATGCTTCTCTGTAGATATTACATTCCTGATACACAAGTAGTTGGGAAGCCAGCATTAATAAACAGACAAGGACAGAAAGTGTCTTTTCCTGCTCAATTTTGACAGTGCTGAAATAGCCTAGCCCTA